TTCCCCCCCCGGAGTTGGTTTGGTTCGGGGGGGGGCGGGGGAAGGGCAGTTTGGGCATAGCCCCCTATAGCCCCTATAGCCCCTATAGCCCCTATAGCCCCTATAGCCCCTATAGCCCCCTATAGCCCCCTATAGCCCCCTATAGCCCCTATAGCCCCCTATAGCCCCCTATAGCCCCCTATAGCCCCCTATAGCCCCCTATAGCCCCTATAGCCCCCTATAGCCCCATAGCCCCCTATAGCCCCATAGCCCCCTATAGCCCCATAGACCCCTATAGCCCCATAGACCCTTATAGCCCCATACATCCTCTATAGCCCCATAGATCCCTATAGCCCCATAGACCCTTATAGCCCCATAGCCCCCTATAGCCCCATAGACCCCTATAGCCCCCTATAGCCCCCTATAGCCAGTATAGCCCCCTATAGCCCCCTATAGCCCCTATAGCCCCTATAGCCCCCTATAGCCCCCTATAGCCACTATAGCCCCCTATAGCCCCCTATAGCCCCCTATAGCCCCTATAGCCCCCTATAGCCCCCTATAGCCCCCTATAGCCAGTATAGCCCCCTATAGCCCCCAGCCCTATAGCCCCTATAGCCCCCATAGCCCCTCCTATAGCCCCCTATAGCTCCCTATAGCCCCCTATAGCCCCTATAGCCCCTATAGCCCCCTATAGCCCCCTATAGCCCCCTATAGCCCCCTATAGCCCCCTATAGCCCCTATAGCCCCTATAGCCCCTATAGCCCCCTATAGCCAGTATAGCCCCATAGCTCCCTATAGCCCCCTATAGCCCCCATAGCCCCCTATAGCCCCTATAGCCCCTATAGCCCCTATAGCCCCCTATAGCCCCCATAGCCCCCTATAGCCCCTATAGCCCCCTATAGCTTCCTATAGCCCCTATAGCCCCCTATACCCCTATAGCCCCTATTGCCCTATAGCCCCCTATAGCCCCCTATAGCCCCCTATAGCCCCTATAGCCCCCTATAGCCCCCTATAGCCAGTATAGCCCCCTATAGCTCCCTATAGCCCCCTATAGCCCCTATAGCCCCCTATAGCCCCCTATAGCCCCTATAGCCCCTATAGCCCCCATAGCCCCCATAGCCCCCTATAGCCCCCTATAGCCCCCTATAGCTCCCTATAGCCCCCTATAGCCCCTATAGCCCCCTATAGCCCCCTATAGCCCCTATAGCACCCTATAGCCCCTATAGCATCCTATAGCCCCCTATAGCACCCTATAGCCCTTATAGCATCCTATAGCCCCTATAGCACCCTATAGCCCCTATAGCCCCCTATAGCCCCCTATAGCCCCCTATAGCCCCTATAGCCCCCCATAGCTTTCTATAGCCCCTATAGCCCCCATAGGCCCCTATGCCCCCCCTGCCCCTCCCCCCCGTGTCCATGGGTCCGGTGGGGGAGGGGCGGGGGGGGGGCTGACGCAAGAGCCCCTGGTTGGGGCAGGCCCGGGCTGACCGCGGGGGGGGAGGGGCGGCTGGACCCATGGAGGGGGGGGAGGGGCGACAGAAGGGGTTCTATGGGGGTAAATGGGCTCTTATAGGTGTGTATGGGCCCATATAGACACATATGTGCACATGTATGGCTTCTATAGGCCTCTATGTGTCTGTATGGACACGTATGTGCACATGTATGGGCATCTATAGGGCTATATATGTCCATATGTAATGCATGGGCTTCTATAGGTCTTTGTGTCTGCATGCACATGTATGTGCACATGTATGGGCTTCTACAGGGGCATATGTGCCCATATGGACATGTGTGTGCACATGTATGGGCTTCCGTAGGTGTTTCTATGTGCCCGTATGGGCATGTATAGGCTATTATAGGGCTATATGTGCCCATATGGACATGTATGTGCACATGTATAGGCTTCTATAGGTGTGTATATGCCCATATGGACATGTGTGTGCATATGTATGGATTTCTATGGGTGTGTATGGGCCCGTATGCACATGTATGGGTTTCTATAGGTCTACGTGTGCCTGTATGGACATGTATGTGCGCTTGTATGGGCTTTTATAGGTGTGTATATGCCCATATGGACATATATGTGTACATGTATGGGCTTCTATAGGGCTATATGTGTCTGTATGCACATGTATGTGCACATGAAAGCACATATATGCACGTGTGTCTTTGTATGTGTCTCTACACATGTGTATGTGCATAGACACCTATAGAAACACATGTATACACGTGTGTACATGGACATGGATGCATATATATAACATGTATGTGCCTGTATGTGCCCATATGTGTACATAGATGCATGCATATACACATATATGTGCCTGCATGTGCGTGAATGAGTACATGGATGCACATGTATGTAACATGTATGTGGCGGTATGTGCCCAATAGGAGCCTGTAGCATGTATATGTGCCTGTACATGCATGGCTGCACGTATGTAACATGTATGTGGCTGTATGTGCATGTATGTGCCCAATAGGTGCCCATAGCATGGGTGCAGGTATATAACATGTATGTGGCTGTATGTGCCCAATAGGAGCCTATAGCATGTATATGTGCCTGTACATGCATGGCTGCACGTATGTAACATGTATGTGGCTGTATGTGCATGTATGTGCCCAATAGGTGCCCATAGCATGGGTGCACGTATATAACATGTATGTGGCTGTATGTGCCCAATAGGAGCCTATAGCATGTATATGTGCCTGTACATGCATGGCTGCACATATGTAACATGTATGTGGCTGTATGTGCATGTATGTGCCCAATAGGTGCCCATAGCATGGGTGCAGGTATATAACATGTATGTGGCTGTATGTGCCCAATAGGAGCCTATAGCATGTATATGTGCCTGTACATGCATGGCTGCACGTATGTATACGTGTGCGCACAGACACGTGTGTTTGGGCCGCTGGGGGGGCGTGACCTCATGAGCAGGGGGCGTGGCCACCCATCCTCGCCTTCCGATTGGCCCCCCACTCTTCCCGCCGGAACTCCCCTTTCTCCGCCCCTTTCCTCCCTCGCCACACCCCCGCGCTCTCATTGGCTGTCCTTGCCGCTGGGGGGGCAGCGCTCGGCCAATCCGAGCCCCGGGATGGGGCGGGGTGGGCGGGGCCAGCGCTGAGGGGAAGGAAGGAAGGAAGGAAGGGGCAATGGCGGCCGCGGCGGTGAGAGCTGTGGGGCCGGGGCCGGGGGGGGCTCTGAGGCGGGGCCTGCCCCATAGGGACCCATTGACGCTGTGGGGCTGGGCCCTAGAGGCCCCCTTAGCCCCCCAAGCAGCCCCACACAGCCGTGGGGGGGCGGAGGTATGTGATGGCAGTGAATGGGCAGCCCCCCCCTTAGGTGCCCATAGGTGGGGCTGGGGGTGATCTCCCCATAACCGACTCCCAACCCCCCCATAACCCACCCATAGCCCCATAACCACCTCTCACGCCCCCTCCCCCAGCCCCATAACTCCCCCGTATAGCTCCTTAACCACCCCCTAAGCCCCATAACCATGCCCTGAGCCCCACAGGGCCCCCCATAGCCCCATAACCACCTCCCAGAGCCCCATAACACACCCAGTACCCCCCCATAGCCCCAGAACACCCCCAGAACACACCTCATCTCCTATAGAACCCTATACCCCCCCATAGCCCCATGACCACCTCCTAACACCCCCTATAGCCCCATAACCCCCCCATAGCCCCATAACCACCTCCACCCTCCCCATAGCCCCATAACCCCCCATAGCTCCATAACCCCCCATAATCCCCCCATAGCCCCATAACCCCCCTATACCCCCCCATAGCCCCATGACCACCTCCACCCCCCGTAGCCCCCAAACCCCCCCATAGGCCCCTAACCACCTCCCCCATCCCCATCCCCCCCACCATCCCCCCCCATAGGCCCATAACTCCTCCCCCATAGCCCCTTAACCCCCCTCATAATCCCCCATAGACTCATAACCCCCCCTATAGCCCCATAACACCCCCATAGCCCCATAACACCCCCAATAACCCCCCCATAACCCCCTGATAACCCCCCCATAGCTTCATAACCCCCCTATAACCCCCCCATAAACCCCCCATAACCCCCCTATAACCCCATAATCCCCCCATAACCCCCCCATAGCCTCATAACCCCCCCATACCCCCACATAATCCCCCCCATAGCCCCAAATCCCCCCATAACACCCCCATAACCCCCCCGTAGCCTCATAACCCCCCCATACCCCCCCATAACCCCCCCCATAGCCCCATAACACCCCCATAACCCCCCCATACCCCCCCATAACCAACCCATAGCCTCATAACCACCCCCTATAGCCCCATAACCCCCCATATAGCCCCATTACTCCCCCATAACCCCCCCATAACCCCCCCATCCTCATACCCTCCCCATCCCCACCCCCCATCCCAGTTTCCTTTCCTGCCTCTCCCTTTTCCTGTCCCTGTATCCGGCCGGGAGCAGAGGACAAAGGGGGGGGGGGGTGCCCAGGCTGAGGCCCTGGAGCTGCGGCGCTGAGCACCAGTGGGAGCCGGGAGCTGGGGTACAGGGGATGGGATCGGGGGGGGTTGGGGTTCATTCAGGGCTCATTCCCATTGGGGTTCATTCAGGGCTCATTCCCATTGGGGTTCATTCAGGGCTCATTCCCATTGGGGTTCATTCAGGGCTCATTCCCATGGGGTTCATTCAGGGCTCATTCCCATTGGGGTTCATTCAGGGCTCATTCCCATGGGGTTCATTCAGGGCTCATTCCCATTGGGGTTCATTCAGGGCTCATTCCCATTGGGGTTCATTCAGGGCTCATTCCCATTGGGGTTGGGGTTCATTCAGGGCTCATTCCCATTGGGGTTGGGGTTCATTCAGGGCTCATTCCCATTGGGGTTCATTCAGGGCTCATTCCCATTGGGGTTCATTCAGGGCTCATTCCCATTGGGGTTCATTCAGGGCTCATTCCCATTGGGGTTCATTCAGGGCTCACTCCCATTGGGTTCATTCAGGGCTCACTGTGTGTGTGGCCCCAGACCCCGCCATGCTCCCCGAGGAGCGCAAGGAGGGCAGCCCCCGCTTCGGGAAGCTCCACTTCCCTGTGGGGCTCTGGATCAACTCCCCCAAGAAGCGCTTGGCCAAGATGAGCCGGCGCTGGCCCAGCGCTGGATCCGTGCGGTGAGGAGACCCCTTGTGTGCCCTGATCCCCAGTGATCCCCACTGATCCCCAGTGATCCCCACTGATCCCCACTGATCCCCATTGATCCCCACTGATCCCCATTGATCCCCACTGATCCCCATTGATCCCCACTGATCCCCATTGATCCCCATTGATCCCATTACCCCATTGATCCCCACTGATCCCATTACCCCATTGATCCCCACTGATCCCCATTGATCCCCATTGATCCCATTGATCCCCATTGATCCCATTACCCCATTGATCTCATCAATCCCATTGATCCCATTACCCCATTGATCTCATCAATCCCATTGATCCCATTATCCCCCATTGATCCCATTATCCCCATTTATCCCATTATCCCCATTGATCTCATCAATCCCATTGATCCCCATCGATCCCATTGATCCCATTACCCCATTGATCTCATCAATCCCATTGATCCCATTATCCCCCGTTGATCCCATTATCCCCATTTATCCCATTATCCCCATTGATCTCATCAATCCCATTGATCCCCATCGATCCCATTGATTGCATTACCCCATTGATCTCATCAATCCCATTGATCCCATCGATCCCATTGACCCCACTGACCCCCCTTGCCCCCCCTTGCCCAGATCCACCTCCTCGGACACGGCGAGCCGCGGCAGCGAGCCCTTGGAGCTGCGCCCGGCCTGCAAAGCCAAAGCCTCGCGCCACAAGCGCCTCTCCAACCTCTTCCATCGCTCCGGCGCCGCCGGCACCGGCGCCCGTTGGCTCAGCGACAAGAAACTGGAGGAGTTGGTGGCTCCGGAGCGGGGCGGGGGGGGGGACCCCTCGGCATCACCGCGCCAGCTCCCCGGCGTCCTCAAGGTCTTCGGGGGGAACCTCTCCCGCGGGGCCAACTACAAGAGCGTGCTGGCGACGGCGCGGTCCACGGCGCGGGAGCTGGTGTGGGAGGCGCTGGAGCGCTACGGCTTGGCCCCGGATGACGGCGTCCTCAGGGAATACGTGCTCTGTGACGTGGTGGGCAGGCCCATGGGGGCCGGCGGGGGGTGGGTCATGGAGCACCTGAGGCCCATAGGGGACTCCGAGCGGCCGCTGGTGCTCCAGGACGTGTGGAAGCCCAAGAGCGGGTGCTCGAGGCGGTTCGAGATCCGGCGGCGCCAGGAGGTGGAGAGCTTCTTCCAGGAGGAGGCTGGGGAGGGAGGAGGTGAGAGAGGGGCTCCCGTGGGGTATGGGGGCAATGGGGGGCACTCGGTGTGGCTATGGGGTATAGGGGGGCCATTGGTGTCTGTGGGTATAGGGGTGCATTAGGTGTCTGGGGGTGTAGGGGTGCCGTACGTGTGTATGGGTATAGGGGTGCCATAGGAGTGTACAGGGGTGTCATAGGTTTGTATGGGTATAGGGGTGCCATAGGTGTGTATGGGTATAGGGGAACTATATATGTGTATGGGTATAGGGGTGCCACAGGTGTGTATGTGTATAGGGGTGCCATAGGTGTGTATGAGTACAGGGGAACTATAGATGTGTATGGGTATAGGGGTGCCACGGGTGTGTATGGGTATAGGGGTGCTACAGGTGTGTATGGGTATAGGATTGCCATAGGTGTGTATGGGTGTAGGGGTGCCATAGGTGTCTATGGGCATAGGGGTGCTATAGGAGTGTATGGGTGTAGGGGTGTCATATGTGTGTATGGGTATAGGAGTGCCATAGGTGTATAGAGGTATAGGGGTGCCATAGGTGTGTATGGGTATAGGGGCACTATTGGTGTGTATGGGAATAGGGGTGGGTATAGGTGCGTATGGTTATAGAGGTGCCATAGGTGTCTATGGATATAGGGGTGCCATAGGTGTGTATAGGGGTGCATTAGGTGTCTATGGGTATAGGAGTGCTATACGTGTCTATGTGTATAGGTGTGCGTTAGGTGTGTGTAGGGGTGCCAAGGTGTCTATGGGTATAGGGGTGCTATATGTGTCTATGTGTATAGGGGTGCATTAGGTGTCTATGGGTACAGGGGTGCCATAGGTGTGTATGGGTATAGGGGTGCCATAGGAGTGTACAGGAGTGTCATAGGTTTGTATGGGTATAGGGGTGCCATAGGTGTGTATGAGTATAGGGGAACTATAGATGTGTATGGGTATAGGGGTGCCATAGGTGTGTATGGGTATAGGGGTGCCCTGGGTGTGTATGGGTATAGGGGTGCCGTAGGTGTGTATGGGTATAGGGGTGCTATAGGAGTGTATGGGTGTAGGGGTGTCATATGTGTGTATGGGTATAGGAGTGCCATAGGTGTATATATAGGTATAGGATGCCGTAGGTGTGTATGGGTATAGGGGTACTATTGGTGTGTATGGGAATAGGGGTGCCATAGGTGTGTATAGGTATAGGGGTGTCATAGGTGTGTATGGATATAGGGGCCCTATAGGTGTTTATGGGTATAGGGGTGCCATAAATGTCTATGGGTATAGGGGCACTATAGGTGTGTATGGGTATAGGCGTGCCATAGGTGTCTATGCGTATAGGGGTGGCATAGGTGTGTATGGGTATAGGGGTGCCGTAGGTGTTTAGGTGTTTATGGGTATAGGGGTGCCCTAGGTGTCTATTGGTATAGGGGCGCTAAAGGTGTGTATGGGTGTAGGGGTGCTATAGGTGTGTATGGGTATAGGGATGCTATATGTGCGTATGGATGTAGGGGTGCTATAATTGTGTATGGATATAGGGGCAATATAGGTGTCTAAGGATAGAGGGATCCTATATGTGCTTATGGATATAGGGGTGCTATATGTGTCTATGGATAAAGGCATGCAGTATGTGCATATAGGTATAGGGGTGCTATATGTGTATATGGCTAGAGGGATGCTGTCTGTGTCTAGGGTTATAGGGACACTAAATGTGCATGTGGATATAGGGATACTATATGTGTATGCGGATATAGGAATGCCATGGGCGTCTATGGATATAGGGATGCTATATAAGTATATGGATATAGGGACCCTATATATGCATATGGATATAGGGACCCTATATGCGTCTATGGATATAACGACCTTATATGTTTCTATGGGTATAGGGACACTATATGAATGTACAGATATAGGGATGCTGAACATGTATAGAGATATAGGGACGCTATATGCACATATGGGTATAGGGGTACTGTAGGCATCTACGGCTATAGGGATTCTGTATGTGTCTGGGTATAGGGATGCTGTATGTGTCTTCGGATATAGGCATATGGATATAAGGATGCTATATGTGTCTATGGCTATAGCAACCTATATATGCATATTTCTATAGGGACGCTATATGCATCTATAGAGATAGGGACTCTATATGCCCATGCAGAGATAGTGATGCTGTATGCGTATACCCTCTATGTGCATATGGATATAGGGACCCTGTATGCGTGTATCGCTATAGGGACGCTATATGCATCTACGGATATAGGGATGCTGTATATTTATATAGATCTAGGGACACTCTATGCATATATCTCCGTAGGGAGGCTGTATGTGTATATAGATATAGGAACACTATATGTGTATATAGATATAGAGACGCTGTATGTGTCTATGGCCATAGGGATGCTGGATGTGTCTATGGCCATAGGGATGCTGGATGTGTCTATGGCCATAGGGATGCTGTGTGTCTATGGCCATAGGGAGCTTAGTGTCTATGCATAGGGATGCTGAGTGTCTATGGCTATAGGGATGCTGTATGTGTCTAATGGCCATAGGGATGCTGTATGTGTCTATGGCCATAGGGATGCTGTATGTGTCTATGGCCATAGGGATGCTGTATGTGTCTATGGCCATAGGGATGCTGTATGTGTCTATGGCCATAGGGATGCTGTATGTGTCTATGGGGATTATTGGCCATAGGGATGCTGTATGTGTCTATGGCCATAGGGATGCTGTATGTGTATGCCATAGGGATGCTGTATGTGTCTATGGCCATAGGGATGCTGTATGTGTCTATGGCCATAGGGATGCTGTATGTGTCTATGGCCATAGGGATGCTATGTTCACCATAGGGATCTGGATGTGTCTATGGGGATGCTGGATGTGTCTATGGCCATAGGGATGCTGATGTGTCTATGGCCATAGGGATGCTGTATGTGTCAATGGCCATAGGGATGCTGTATGTGTCTATGGCCATAGGGATGCTGTATGTGTCTATGGCCATAGGGATGCTGTATGTGTCATGGCCATAGGGATGCTGGATGTGTCTATGGCCATAGGGATGCTGTATGTGTCTATGGCCATAGGGATGCTGTATGTGTCTATGGCCATAGGGATGCTGTATGTGTCTATGGCCATAGGGATGCTGTATGTGTCAATGGCCATAGGGATGCTGTATGTGTCTATGGCCATAGGGATGCTGTATGTGTCACAAACACACAAAAACAACACATAGGATGCTGTGTATGGCCATAGGGATGCTGATGTGTCTATGGCCATAGGGATGCTGTATGTGTCTATGGCCATAGGGATGCTGTATGTGTCTATGGCCATAGGGATGCTGTATGTGTCTATGGCCATAGGGATGCTGTATGTGTCTATGGCCATAGGGATGCTGGATGTGTCTATGGCCATAGGGATGCTGGATGTGTCTATGGCCATAGGGATGCTGTATGTGTCTATGGCCATAGGGATGCTGTATGTGTCTATGGCCATAGGGATGCTGTATGTGTCTATGGCCATAGGGATGCTGTATGTGTCTATGGCCATAGGGATGCTGGATGTGTCTATGGCCATAGGGATGCTGTATGTGTCTATGGCCATAGGGATGCTGTATGTGTCTATGGCCATAGGGATGCTGTATGTGTCAATGGCCATAGGGATGCTGTATGTGTCTATGGCCATAGGGATGCTGTATGTGTCTATGGCTAGGTGTCTATGGCCATAGGGATGCTGTACGTGTCTATGGCCATAGGGATGCTGTATGTGTCTATGGCCATAGGGATGCTGTATGTGTCAATGGCCATAGGGATGCTGTATGTGTCTATGGCCATAGGGATGCTGGATGTGTCTATGGCCATAGGGATGCTGGATGTGTCTATGGCCATAGGGATGCTGGATGTGTCTATGGCCATAGGGATGCTGGATGTGTCAATGGCCATAGGGATGCTGTATGTGTCTATGGCCATAGGGATGCTGGATGTGTCTATGGCCATAGGGATGCTGTATGTGTCTATGGCCATAGGGATGCTGTACGTGTCAATGGCCATAGGGATGCTGGATGTGTCTATGGCCATAGGGATGCTGTATGTGTCTATGGCCATAGGGATGCTGTATGTGTCTATGGCCATAGGGATGCTGTATGTGTCTATGGCCATAGGGATGCTGTATGTGTCAATGGCCATAGGGATGCTGTATGTGTCTATGGCCATAGGGATGCTGTATGTGTCTATGGCCATAGGGATGCTGTATGTGTCTATGGCCATAGGGATGCTGGATGTGTCTATGGCCATAGGGATGCTGGATGTCATGGCCATGGGATGCTGATGTTCATGGCCATAGGGATGCTGGATGTGTCTATGGCCATAGGGATGCTGTATGTGTCTATGGCCATAGGGATGCTGTATGTGTCTATGGCCATAGGGATGCTGGATGTGTCTATGGCCATAGGGATGCTGGATGTGTCTATGGCCATAGGGATGCTGGATGTGTCTATGGCCATAGGGCCACTGTCTGTGTCTATGGCCCTGACCCTAACCCCGTCTCCCCCCCTCTCTCCCCAGGGCCCTCATCCCAGACCCGGCGCCTGCAGCGCAACCGCTCCCGTGCGGCCTCGGGGGGCCCGGCCCCCCCCAAGGAGCGCTCCGAGAACCTCTCCCTGCGCCGCAGCATCAGCGACATGAACCTGAGCACCCGGCGCCGCAGGGACCGCAAGGCCGTGCTCAGCGTGGCCGGGGGGGACCCCACCACCCCCGCCCCCCCCCCGGGGCCCCCCCCAACCGACGGGACCCCCCCGACCCCCGGCCCCGATGGAGCCGCTGCAGGGGGGGGTGAGGAGGAGGAGGAGGAGGAGGGAGGGGGGGACGGCACCAGCCTGGAGCAGCTCTCGCAGTGCCTCATCCAGCCCCCCCAGCATCACCCCTACTTCCTGCTGCTGCAGGGCTATGGCAAGCAGGTAACGGGGGGGGGGCATTTCCTTACCCGCACCCCCTTCCATGGTCATGATCCCCCCCAAAGTGTCCCCTTCCCGTCCATGGCCCCCCAGTCCCTTCCTTTCCTCAACCACCCCCCCCATGTCTCATGTTCCCATGACCCCCCCATTGACCCCTCTGTCCATGCCCCCCCATTGAACCCTGTTCCCATGCCCCCCCATTGAACCCTGTTCCCATGCCCCCATTGAACTCTCTTCCCATGCCCCACCATTGACCCCTATTCCCATGCCCCCCCATTGACCCTTCTTCCCATGCCCTCCCATTGACCCCTCTTTCCATGCCCCCCCATTGACCCCTCTGTCCATGGCCCCCCCTGAACCCTGTTCCCATGCCCCCCCATTGACCCCTCTTCCTGTGCCCCCCATTGAACCCTGTTCCCATGCCCCCTCCATTGAACCCTGTTCCCATGCCCCCCATTGAGCCCCTCTTCCCATGCCCCACCATTGACCCCTCTTCCCATCCCCCCATATCCCCACCCCAACCCCTCCCATTCCTTAGCCCCCAGCCCCCCATATCCATACCCCCCCATCCTCTCCCCATAGCCCCCCCTTCCCATTCCCTCCCTCCCCACCCCCTAAGTGCCCCCCCCAACCCCTTTGTGTTCCCCCCCCCCAGGACTTTGTGCTCTACGTCATGACTCGCTCCCAGCACATCTTCGGGCGCCGGGGCCCCCCCGACCGCCCCCCCCAGGGGTCCCCCCCTTCCATTGACACCTTCCTCAACGCCCCGGACATCCTCCCCCGCCACTGCCTCGTACGGGCCCCCCCGGGGGTCCCTGCCACCGTGCGCCCCTACCGGGGGGCCCCCATGACCCATAATGGGGTCCCTCTGTTCCGCCGGGCCCCATTGAAACCCGGGGACCTGCTGGGGCTGGGGGAGCACTTCCTGTTGCTCTATAAGGACCCCCGGGGGGGGGCCCCCCAAGAGCAGAGCCCCCCCTGGCTGGGGGCGCTGCGCTGCGAGGGCTGCAGTACCGGCAGGGGCCGCAGGGAGGCGCTGCGGTACCGGGCGGAGCACGAGGAGCGGCTCCTGCGGGAGATCGTGCGGGAGCCCTGGGGTGCGGGGGGGGCCCCGCAGGGGATGGGGGTCCTGGCCCCCGCTTTCCTGCTGGGGCTCTGCATGGAGCACGCGTGGGGAGCGTTCCCCCCCCAGCACCTCCCGAGGCTGCTGATGAGGATCGCGGGGCTGGTGAAGGAGGAAGTTTGGGTATGGGGGGGGTGGGATGGGGATGGGGATGGGATGGGGATGGGATGGGGATGGGATGGGGTGGGAGTCGGATGGAGATGGGGATGGGATAGGGAATGGATGGGGATGGGATGGGTTGGAGGGGATGGGATGGGATGGGGAGGGGATGGGGATGGGGATGGGATGGGGATGGGGATGGGATGGAGGAAGGGATGGGGATAGGGGATGGATGGGGATATGGATGGGGATGGATCGGGGATGGGATCGGATGGGGATGGGGATGGGATGGGATGGGGATGGGATGGGAATAGGGATGGGGATGGAATAGGGATGGGGATGGGGATGGATGGGGATGGGATGGAAGGATGGGGACAAGGGATGGGGATGGGGATGGGGATGGGATGGGGGATGGGAATGGGAGGGATGGGGATGGGATGGGATGGGGGTGGGGATGGGATGGGGATGGGATGGGATGGGGATGGGAGATGGGATGGGATGGGATGGGAGGGGGATGGGATGGAGATGGGGATGGGATGGAGATGGGATGAGGATGATGGAGATGGGATGGGGATGGAGACGGGATGGGGATGGAGATGGATGGGGATGGGGATGGATGGCGATGGGGATGGATGGGGATGGGATGGGGATGGGGATGGGATAGGGATGGATGGGGATGGGGATGGGATGGGGATGGGATGGGGATGGGATGGGGATGGGATGGGGATGGGGATGGGGATGGGATGGGGATGGGGATGGATGGGGATGGGATGGGGATGGGGATGGGGTGAGGATGGGGATGGGATGGGGATGGGAGGGAGGAGATGGG